TGTAATCCCCCGACCCTGGTGACAGCACTGCAGCTTCATATAGTAGGTAAGGGGGAGAGCGAGGGGGGGAGGGGGGAGAAAGAGGGCAGCGAGAAGGCAGAAAGAGAGGGGGGGGGGAAAGAGAGGGCGGGGGGGGGCTTGCTTTAAAACATACCTTTTTGTGGAGCTTTTGCAGAGATCAGTTAGTTTGCATGCCGACGTTCCCCGCAGGATGGATCGGATCTGCGGATTGGGGAGGATAATGGATCGGACTCAGATCCATTATGCTCAATCTGCAGATCCGATCCATTGTGCGGGGATCGTCGGAGGGGGTGTCACCAAGTGAATAAAAATAAATAAAAGTCAACAAAAATAAGACCTACCCGAAAATAAGCCCTAGTGCATTTTTTTTACCTAAATTTAATATAGGACACAGTCTTATTTTCGGGAAAACACAGTATTAAGCCATGTTTTGTGAAGGGGATCAAATGCTTATTTCCCTCATGAACATGCAAATCAGTGCATCATTTGTTAGACATGCATTTCTTTTGCAATTTTATGTTGCTATTCTGTCTCTCAGTGTTACAATACACCTACCATTCAATTTTTAGACTGATCATTTTGTTTGTGAGTGGAAAAACATTCAAAATCAGCAGGGGGTCAAATACTTATTTCCATTACTGCATTTTTGTGAAAAAAATTATATAAATTTCATTTGTGTACAGTGGTGCATAACAACGCAATTGTCAGTTAAAGTAGCGCAGCACCGTATAGCATAAAATGGCATGGTCACAAAGGAGGAGTAAATCTTCCTGAGGGCAAGTGGATACACAACAGGTGTTTGTAAGCGGACAGTTTTTGTTGTGATCTTTAAGAATTGATTACTTTGCGGAGAGGTCAGGGAAAACTTATTTTAACCAATTGGGGACACTGGGCATGCCCCAAAAATCTTTAACAAAGTACACAGTGCATGTGCAGGATGCCTTGTGCTCCTGTCCCACTGCTGCTTCCCTCCTTTGCACTTGCACGTGTCCATAGTCTAGGCACTGGTGCACTTAAAGCATTCTTATACTATTCACATTCAATCTGTTATGAACACTAAAGTAGAATATTCACAATTACTTTACATACAAAAATATTTTTATTAACATGTACAGATTTTAAAATGTAAAAAATTAACAAATATGGCAGTTAAAATAAACAAAAAAAAAATCCTGTAAAATGAAAGGAATACAGACAATGCATTCAATTAATTTTAGCTAATAATATCTGTAAAGGCACAAATATGAAAAATATTTGAAGGATCCATGCCTGTGTGTTGTATCTTATTTACTTAGGTGGACTTGGCCTGGCCTGCTAGTATGAGTCTAATCTCCAAGTCAGAATTAAGCCACACCTCTCTGAATGATAAGGCCCACCTTCCTGTCAGTAAAATTTTAAATTTCAGAGCATTATCTTGCAATAGAGGCTCTGGCATGTGACTTATGAGTGAGTCATGGGAGCTTTATGTAAACTTGGAAGAATGTTGAGGCCCTAGATCCCAGCCTTGAAACCAAGGGGGGTCCACAGAGACAAAGAGATTGGTTTGAAAACTAACACAGGTACTGGTTTGGCCTTCTGAGATATAAGTCTGTTATATTTCTTGGGATAAAACACGGTCACAAGTGCTTTTCCTGTCTGGTTTGATCTCAGAGTCCTGAACTGGAGCTGACTTACCAAAGGCAAACAATTTGTTCATCTTAGTGAATGTGGAGAAAATTCACTGTACAAAGGATACCCAATCAGATGCGAGAAAATAAAACAAGTATTTCTGCCTACACAACTGGATAGTAGAAGTTAGCACAGTTTTTTTTACATACACTAAGCTAAGTGAAAATTCCCTTGAAAAGTAAACCAAGTCTTTAGTAATTCAACCCCAATGTCTTCACACAAGACTGGTTTAATTGTTGAAAACAGTGCACTCCCAGCATTGGGAAGTATCATTCACAAATCGCAGCTATAGCATGTAATTCTAACAACAGAATTTAGAAATATTAACTTCCATTCTAGTTTGGTGTGTTTGTAACATTAACTTATCTCCTAAAACATAACAAGTGAGTTTCATCAAGATATTTCACCTAACTTTCAAAGTGCACAGTTCCTGCACCTTATCACATTTTTGAAAGAAAAGTTATATATATATATATATATATATATATATATATATATATATATATATATATATATATACATACATACATACATACACATACATACATATACACACACAGACATTTTTTTATATCTGTGATTATTTAGAGATTATTTATTGTTTATGTATAGAAATGGGTCTTTGCATGCAAGTTCCTTGGCTATGCTATCCCTGTACAACAGTGCCTCCCAGTGGTAAAAATAAAAACTGCAGAATTTATATGTAATAAAACCCAGTACCTATATATAAGGCTACAATCAAACCTAAGCATTCCGGTTTGGTGCCTACAAAAAAATATATATATTAATACCTGTCCACTGAATCTTTGGTTTGAATTCTAGGAGGGTGTATCCTTCATAGAAATCAATGGTAGCACATGTAAAATCTACAGTGATGGAAATAGGTGAGAATTCATGGGTGTAATTGTAGCCTAAGCACATTTAGAATATGCAAATCAGTCAACAACTTTCACTAAGCTATATTTTTACCTGGAGTTCTGTTTTAATTTTAGGTAATGAAAATATTGTAATAAACTTATTTTCACAAAACTATCATTTTTTGCCTTGATATAATAGCACGGCCTTATCCTCTAGGAATAACCATGTTCCCTTCTGGGTAATTGTAACTCCCCCACAGAGGCAGTTTTATCGCCTACCACAGCTTAAGGTCTCTTGCACACAGACACCTAAAAATGCCACATTTTGGGCATTCAGGTTTTTATTTTACTGATCTAACTGCAGCCCTATGTTTTTAATGGGCCTGAACACACAAGTGTGTAAGCTTGGCCTACACATAGATCAGATAAATAGAAAAAAATTAAATCTTCCTTGCTACTTTTACATGCATACGCCACACTCCCTTGATGAAAAAAAAAAAAAGAAAAAAAAAAAAAGGTAGGAGAATTTTTAACACAAGTATTTGCGCAAATACATGCAAATACACACGTGCTGAATAGCTCGTCCTCGCATTTTTTTTTGCCATGAATATCTGACATTCATACATCATGAAATAACAGTCACTGTGGAACTTCTCAGAAGACCAGAACACCAGTAAATAATAGTATACAGCTTTTTCTAAGAGGTTACTATGGAGTGGAGATTCAGATTACAGTAAGTCCCCAACATAAGAACAAATTCTGCTCTGAGAGTGCATGCGTAAGTCCAATTTGTTCCTAAGTCCAACAAAGTTAGCCAAGGTACCGAACACAGTCAGCTGTATAGTACAGTGTACTGTAAAAAGTTTATAAGCGTGAAATAAAGATACTGTACTATACAGTACAGTAAAGTACTTTCCCTCTTAGATTGTAAGCTCTAACGAGCAGGGCCTTCTGATTCCTCTTCTACCAACTTGTAATGTCTACCTTCATTTTGTAATGCGCTGCGCAAACTCTTGGCCCTATATAAATCCTGTATAATAATAATAAAGTACACAAAAGCATACCCACTTGTGAAGCACATGCACGTGACAATGTACACCAGATACATGAAGTAATGTGATTAGGCATGTAAACGCACATTCACATCATTGTAGGTTCCCAACTTGAAGGCTCCTATGTAGGGGACTTACTGTATTACAAAAGACCAGTGACTGCATCTGTTTAGTGTGAATGTTGGATAACACTGGAAATGATACATCCACGCAAAAGAAAAAAAAAAAATAACATTTTTCATTTTGCCATTAGCGTTCCCATAGCTTTATTGTAGAAATGTATACATCACTGAGACTTAAATAAAAGGAGAGCACAGGATGAAAATGATCTTTACCAGCCAAAACATTTGCTGCTTTGTCCATCCAAAAACATTAAAGCATACAAAGATTGTATCATTTGTTCAAGCAGTTAAATAATTAACACGTTAGTGCTAGATTTTCAGAAGTGTTGGGGTGGGGTTTCAAGAAAAAATTGCAAAAAGGTAATCATGTGTGAATTGAAGTAACCCATAACAGCCAATCACAAGTATCCTTTAAGCTAATCTGTCTACATAAATAGAAAACTGATTGTCAAGAACTATTGTTCTTTGCAAATCGGATCTGCTCTTTGCATTGTTCCTCTATGCAGGCAAAATAATTTGCACCCCATTCCTCATTATATAAGAATGTGCTTCAGTCATGCATAGTAAATGATTACAGACTTCAGGTGCAGTAAATGTCAATGTTTCTCTACTTTTGTATTAGTGAACAAAAATATAATAGCAGTGATATGAATGACCTGGATGAGACGATAATTTGCCATTTGCTCCACTTCACTAGAATATATATATATATATATATATATATATATATATATACACACACACAAATATATATACATACACACAGTGCCTTGAAAAATTATTCATACCCCTTGAAATTTTCCAAGTGGTAACAGAGTAAAGAGGACTGAATACTGAATACAAATGCAGGCCACACTTTTCAGATATTCATTTTGAAAACCATACTGTATATCATTTTACTTCCACTTCACAATTATGTGCAACTTTGTGTTGGTTCATCACATAAAATCCCAATAAAATACATTTATGTTTTTAGTTGAAACATGACAAAATGTGCAAAATTTCAAAGGGTATGAATACTTTTTCAAGGGTGTGTGTGTGTGTGTGTGTGTGTGTGTGTACACACACACATAAATATGCACACACACACTGACTTTTTTTTTTTTATAAAAGGTCTTTTTCTGTAATGCATTAACAATAATTGACATATTTATTATATAAAACGGTTATACACATATATACAGAAGATACATTAGGGGACTGATGTGTTGGTAGTTGTGCAGTACACAACACAGAATCTGCTCTGTAGATAGAAAGCCAAAGTCCCTCTGTTATTCTTCTCAGTCATTGTTTTCGTCATCTCTCTGATCCCGGTATTTCATGTAAGAATCTCCCTCAGGGTTATGAGGTTCCATCTTAATATTCAGCTTCTCAAATAGCTTTTGAGCTGCAAGCTTGGCCTGGTTTTCCTGAAGATATAAAAATATTACAAATATAAAAAGACAAACCCAACTTGATCACTTTTGAATGTAGCATCCTCGTTGTCATTATTTCTCTGCCCTATTGTCCAAAATTACCAGACAGCATCAATCACAAACTGGCAGCTTAAATAATAATTTACACAAAACTTCTATCAGTTTAGGATTTAGGTTAGCTACTTCCGGAAATAGTATTCAATATATGATTACAAAGTACTGGCTATAGGGGTCTGAAGATAACTATTGTACAGTTAAGAGCAGTGTGTTACTTCACCTCTTAGGCCTTTGTTTCTGTATGTAGAAAATAAAAACTGGTCCAGCTGCACCATTATAAAGTTGTCACTGTCCAAACTTCTAGCTGAGAAGGATGACTTTTTGTGCCTTCAGCAGTTACAAGGGACTGTTTGCTTTCTAGTTTGCTTCTGTGCATACTTAGTAAGCCAAGTACCATACCGATTGTTTTGCATTAGAAAAAACATTAAAATGGTGCTGGTGGATCACTTTTAGGTGGCATACAGTTGCGCTCAAAAGTTTGCACACCCTGGCTGAAAACCTATTATTTAACCACTTGCCCTCCAGAGGATTTACCAGGCCAGGCCAGGCCATTTTTTTACGTTACAGCACTCTGTTACTTTAACTGACAATTGCACAGTCATGCAACGCTGCACCCAAATTCAATTTACGTCCTTTTTTTCCCACAAATTGAGCTTTCTTTCGGTGGTATTTGATCGCCTGTGAATTTTTTATTTTTTGGGCTATAAAAAAAAAAAAAAGACCAACGATTTTGAGAAAAAAAACTATTTTTTACTTTTTGCTATTATTATTATTATTATTATACAGTATTTATAAAGCGCCAATAGTTCGCTCAGCGCTGTACATTACAAAGGGGGACAGAACATATGACAGAAAATACCAATACAATGCAAAACATGAGGGGATCAAGGGCCCTGCTCTTTCGAGCTTACAATCTAGGAGATTCTATTAAACATGTCCAGTAAAAAAAGTTTAAAAATCTAATTTTGCCATAAATTTAGGCCAAGATTTATTCTGCTACATGTCTTTCCTAAAAAAAATCCCAATAAATGTAAATTGATTGGTTTACATGAAAGTTATAGCGTTTACAAAATGGCGGTATATATACTGGGATTTTTTTTTTTTTTTTAATTTTCACTAGTAATGGTGTCGATCAGTGACTTATAGCAGGACTGCGGCGAGCATTCTGACACTGGGGGAACTGACTTGGTGTCACTGACATCCCCAGTGACACCATTACAGTGACCAGTGCTAATAAAAAGCACTGACACTGTACTAATGGCACTGGGCAGGAAGGGGTTAACATCTGGGGCGATAAAAGGGTTAACTGTGTGCTGTGTGTGTTTCACTATGGGGCTGTGTCTGTGTGCTTCACTGTAAACATACTGCTTTGCATGGCAGTGTGCTGGAGCTGACAGGGAGGAGACCTGTTTTGTTTTGTCAGAGATCCTTGGCAATCACCGGGTGCCAGCGAGCAATCACCGGCCTGGATTTTATATCTGCTATAGGGTGGAAGGGAATCGGTTAAGGATGATGATCATATGAAGCCATTTATTATCACATATTTGTGTGCCTCCTTTTTAAACCATAACGAAAACAGAAATCACCCAAATGGCCATGATCAAAAGTTTACATACCCTGGAATGTTTGGCTGCGGTACAGACACACAAGGTGACACACACAGGTAAAATGTCAATTAAAGATAATTTCCCACATCTGTGGCTTTTTAAATTGCAATTAGTGTCTGTGTATAAATAGTCAATGAGTTTGTTAGCTCTCATGTGGATGCACTGAGCAGGCTAGATACTGAGCTATGGGGAGAAGAAAAGAACTGTCAACAGACCAGTGTAGCATAGTAATCGAACTTTCAAAGCTGGAAAAGGATATAAAAAAATATCCAAAGCCTTGTATATGCCAGTCAGTACTGTTCAATCACTTATTAACCAGTTCCCAACCGTGCTATAGCTGAAGAACAGCTACGGTTGTGTAATTCTGCGACGACGCTACAGTTGTGTAATTCTGCGACGACGTTCATGGATGGCATTCCAGAACACGCCCCCTTGCGCGCCCCCAGTGGCATGCACACGGCACCACCAGTGATCGCTGTGTCTTTATGGACACAGCTGATCTCATGATACGGTAAACAGCCAATCACGGCAGCCTTTTACCACGTGATCAGCTGTGTCCAATGACACAACAGATTACCGGATAAATACAGTTGCCGGTTATCGGATGCTGTCACAGCGTGAGGAAAGTACTGCCGAGAACCGGCAATTGTCAGCGAAGGGATTGGCACTGATCATCAGTTCCTCCCACCTGTGCCCTGCAGTGCCACCCACCTCTGCCCAGCAGTGCCGCCCAGCAGTGCTGCCCATCAATCCAACCTCATAGCAGTGCCTCCTATCACTGCCCATCAGTGCTGCCTATCCGTGCCACCTCATCAGTGCCCATCAATGCTGCCTATCAGTGCCCATCAGTGCTGCCTATCAGTGCAGCCTCATCAACGCAGATCAGTGATGGAGAAAAATTGCCTGTTTGCAAAATTTTATAATAGAAACAAAGAAAAACTTTTTTTTTCAAATTTTTTGGAGTTTTTTTTGTTTATAGCGCAAAATATAAAACACCCATTGGCGAGTACATACCACCAAAAGAAAGCTCTATTTGTGTAAAAAAAATTATAAAAATTTCATATGGGTACAATGTTGCATGACCGCACAATTGTCATTCAAAATGCAACAACGCTGAAAGCTGAAAATTGGCCTGGGCAGGAAGGGGTAAAAAGTGACTAGTAGGTAAGTGGTTAAGAAGCGGAAAATTCAGAGATCTCTTGGTACCAAGCCAAGGTCAGGTCCAAGAAAGACTGCAGCCACAACTGCCAGAAGAATTGTTCAGGATACAAAGAAAACCCCACAGATAATTCCAGGAGAAATACAGGCTGCTTTAGAAAAAGACGGTGTGGTTGTTTCAAGAAGCACAATACAACGATACTTGAACAAAAATGAGCTGCATGGTCAACCTGCCAGAAAGAAACCTTTACTTCGCTAATGCCACAAAAAAAGCCAGGTTACAATATGTTACAATATGTCCAAAACCTTGACATGCCTCACAGCTTCTGGCACACTAATCTGGAGGGACGAGACAACACGAGTCACAACCATAAGCGCTATGTTTGGAGAGGGGTCAACAGCGACAAGAACACCATCCCCACTGTGAAGCATGGTGGTGGCTCACTGATGTTTTGGGGGGTGTGAGCTCTAACGGCACGAGGAATCTTGTAAAAATTGATGGCAAGATGAATGCAGTATGTTAGCATAAATTACTGGCAGACAATTCTTCTACACGAAAGCTGCACATGGGAGACGCTTGGACTTTCCCAGCATGACAATGACCCTAAACACTAGGCCAAGTTGACCCTTCAGTGGTTACAGCAGGAAAAGGTGAAGGTTCTGGAGTGGCCATCACAGTCTCCTAACTAACATCATCAAGCCACTCTGGGGAGATCTCAAGCGTGCGGTTCATGCAAGACGACCAAAGACTTTGCATGACCTGAAGGCATTTTGCCAAGACAAATGGGAAGCTATACCACCTGAAAGAATTCGGGACCTTATAGACACTATTACAAGATACTGTACAATGTCATTAATGCTAAAGGAGGAAATACACTGTATTAAAGTGCTACTATACCCAGGGCCCTGCATTCACTATATCTGGTCTACCACATTATACAGAACATTGAAATGCAATTATTTTAGCAAATATAAACTGCTTAATACCTTAACTCATCAGCAGTTAGAGCAGTCTTGTGACTTCTATCAGTGTCCAGCAGAGCATGGTTAAAGCTTGTAGGAGGAGTTTTCATTTTCCCCTTATTGTCCTATGAGGCTGCAGGACCACTGACCCTCTGTCTAGATAGCGCTGATTGGCCCTGTGTGCTGATCACATGCACTCTCCCCAGACAAATATATCTAGCAATATACACCAAAAGGAGCATGTGCAGCTTGCCCCCAAGGCTCTGTTCTATCAGGAGATGGATTGGGGACAGTAAAAGAAGGGATGATCAGAGAAGACAGGATCAAACATAATTTTTACACAATGCAGTAGATTAACCCCTTAGGTTCCCAGTGACAGAATGATTTTACTGCTGTGGGTTTAGGAACACTTTAAGAACTAAGGGTATGCAGACTTTTAAACAGGGGTCATTTCATTTGTTTACGTGTTGCCATGATTTGCTTGATGATTGTGCCATTCTGTTATAACCTACAGTTGAATATGAATGCCATAAGAAAGGAATAAAATGTATTTTTGCCTGCTAAATCATGTTTTTTTATTTAAAAATGAAACATACTGTATATTACCAATTCTCGAAGGGTATGCAAACCTTTGAGCACAACTGTAAGTGCTTTGGTTTGGATTACAAGTCTTTTTTTTTTTCTTCAAAATGACTGAACTATAGGCAAAAGAATTGAGCCCAACACCACTCATGGCTGTGTATTAGGAGAGTCATATCCCCATAGCCAATATGTATTAGGTCTCCTTTAAGGCTCCCAACACACAACTACCCAGCGCCTGTGAACCCCGATCATTTTCTTGAAGCTGCTTGTACCTCCAACCTTACCCCCATAGGAGAAGAGCTGCCACATTAGACGATTACTTTTTAAAAGTGAGTTGCAACATTCCTAGGAACTTCTGCATGATAGAAGAAATTGTCACGTTAGAGCAGTGGTTCTCAACCTTTCTAATGCCGCGACCCCTTAATACAGTTCCTCATGTTGTGGTGACCCCCAACCATAAAATTATTTTCATTGCTACTTCATAACTGTAATTTTGCAGTGGGAGGAGTAGTGCCATGTCATTGATGTCAGTGGAAGGAGTACTGCCCCATTTTGATGTCAGTGGGATGAATAGTGCCCCATCGTTGGTATCAGTGGGAGGAATAGTGCCCCATCGTTGGTATCAGT